CTCTGCAAGATTCAAAACAATAGGTAGGGGCCAAACAATCCCAAAGTGACAATTTAGGGAGCAGTGGCCTGGGGAAACATTTATGATCCTGGATCTGTCTCCCCAATGCAAGGATACTCCAATACAGAGCAGGTGAAGGTTGCTGACCCTCCCTCCATTCTCTAAAGGTAGCCAATAAAGCAGCTGTGGGGGCAATGTAAGCATAGAGCACCTAATCCAAGCTAATGGGGCCAGCCCTTGCCCAGTAGGCCTATACCCCTTCAGATGCAGGAAGAGATGTGGACTGCAAAATCGGATAAGGAGGGCAAGAACAAAAAGAAAAAAGCAGCAGGAGAAAAAGGGGAAATGAGGGATCAGAGCTACTGCAGCGGCCAGAAGGCATGAGGGAACACCAGCCTATGAATCAGCTGTTGGCGGGAGTCACCTGCAGCAAGAGATACTAACAGGATTATGTCAGGTGAACCGCCACTATATTTACCAGTGTAGGTGATTCCAGTGTAAGCAACAGACCAAAATAAATAAATCCAAGTAAAGCTGGAGCTAAGTGGCAGCAGGAAGGCCATCTGTCCAGGAGGGTTCTGTGTGAGCCGACTTTGAAGAGTGTGTACATGGGAGCATACCGGAAGATTTTAATCTAATTTTCATCTAAGAGGGATTACTGAGAACAATGGTATATGCTGAAACATCTACATCTAAAAGTAAGTGTGAGGTAAGATTCCCGACAAATATAATAATTTGGAGAGCTACGATCTGCCTCATTCTCAAACATCAGCTAACCAAAAGGATGCTCGCCGCTTCCCTATGACACAGCTTCAAGTGAAGAAACAAGGGTCTGTATGTTACTGTGTCGCTGCTACAGATAAATAATTAAACCCTGCTGAGACCAATGACGCATGCCAGGTCATTTGTAATAGCACACAAAGCATAAAGACTGATACATAATTGTGAGGATGCAAACATTTTGGGACAAGCTTTCAAAACATTGTCTCTGAAATTGCCATCTAAATTCTCCGGGGATTCTATCTGTGCTGGCAGGTTCCAGCACAGAGATGCGGGAGCTAAGCAGGGTCCCATATGACTGATGGGTAGGGTTGCCAGATGGTTTCAACAAAAATACCAGACACACTTGACATTACATTACAATCTACATTACATCTGATTTAGAAAATACCGGACATTTCTAGTATCAGAGGGGTAGCCGTGTTAGTCTGAATCTGCAAAAGCGGCGAGGAGTCCTGTGACACCTTATAGACTAACCAAAGTGTTGGAGCATAAGCTTTCATGGGCAAAGACTCACTTCATCAGATGCATGTAATGGAAATTTCCAGAGGCAGGTATAAATATGCAGGCCAGAATCAGGTTAGAGATGACAAGGTGGATCCAATCAGGGAGGATGAGGCCCACTTACTGGATCCACCTCCTCATCTCTAGCCTGATTCTGGCCTGCATATTTATACCTGCCTCTGGAAATTTCCATTACATGCATCTGATGAAGTGAGTCTTTGCCCATGAAAGCTTATGCTCCAACACTTTGGTTAGTCTATAAGGTGAACATTTCTATTTTCTCAACTTGTTTCCCGAACAGAAAACTCAAATACTGGACTGTCCAGTTCAAAACCAGACACCTAGAAACGCTACTGATGGCTGATGCCTGTTCTGTTTCACAGTACTCATCTCTGCTGATTGTTTCTATTACACTACCTCGAAGATGCTTACAAGTACGAGTGCTTGCTTAGAAAAAGCTGCGTGATAGCTGGTATTTGCAAAGCACAGGAGCTGGTCCTTAGACAGGCTTGCTCGGGAGATCAGAAAGTACCACAGGGAGCTGCACAACCAGTCAGAAGGGTTCGTGCCCAGAGACTGGTCTGGACATATCTGGGCCCTCCTGTGGACCATGGAGAAAGGTGCAGCTATCCTGAAACTGACAACTACCATTTTATTTGAGCACTTTCCTACACAGGAAAAATATACAAATAAGAGGCTAAGCCCTCTAGGCCTAGCTGCAAGCGATGTGTGTGAACAAGAGTGCAAACTAATCAACTGTGACGGCTGCCCAGCCTGGAAGGAAAGCCAGAGTGAAGGAAGGGGAGTATCTGAATCCCAATACAAGAAGTCAGTTCAGAGTGCCCCAGGGGCTCTGTAAGACCTACTGAAGGGAAGCCAATTCCTCTCCAGCCAGCCCAGGACCACCACTATGCCCAGGAACAAGAGCTGTTGACTACACCAGGGCAGTACGTAGAGAGGGGGCCCCACCGCCTCTCACAATATCAGTATCAGTGGTTACTTCTACCATTGCATTCACTGCACCTCGTTGATATTTCCAACCTTTTATTTGCAACCATGAGAACTAGACCCTTAGCTTCCAAAAAGCAAAGCCGAGATTCTGAGAGGACAGTGTTGGGAGCCAGGACATACCCATTGAGACTGTGCCTTAACCCAGCTAAGAATGTTAAGTAGAGAGTAATTCACTAATTGAATAGTCGATGCATTTTTGCATCGACTATTTGATTCGTTGATAGGGCGGCGCTGCCCCTTTGAAACACTGCTGCGGCATTTCAAAGGGGCAGCGCCGCATGGAGCTTGGGATGAGCTGGGGACCCCCCTCAGCTCATCCCAGGGTCAGTGCGGCGCTGCCGTTTTGCAGTACCCTCCTCTTCCCCGCGTGCTGCCTCTATCTGATAGAGGCAGTAGGGGAGGGGAAGCGACTAGTCCTTAACATCCCTAAACCCAGCGCTACCCATGGGTCTATCTGAACAACAATGATGGAACTACAGCCTAAGTCCAGCAGTGCCCAGCACATGTACGCTCTCGAGCCAGGAGCTTCTCATTTGGCTAGCTCAGTGACAACCACTTCCTCCTTTCCCCTCCTCCCCTGCAACTTCGAGTCCCAACCACATAGGTTAATCCATCAGCTTACGTAGTAGCTGAGAGACATTGTTCCCCTAGAAGCCATCCTTATATATCAGCCAGTTGAAGGAGTGCTGATACTTTTGCAATTAAAACTCAGAGGAGGAATCAGATGGCTTGCATTCTGTTTCAACAACACTGGTAATGTGATCTCTGACAAGTCACTTAGCTTCCCTGCGCTTCATTGCCTTCATCAGTAAGTTGCAGAACACTAATGTCATTGATTGACACTGTGAAGAAAACACTACTGAAATGGGAAAATGCCATGTGATATGATGGTCTACTCTAGCGTACATTAGCCCATCATTCTGATGGGGAACTTGCAACTCCCTGTATTTCGGGGTAATGCATGAAGAGAAATGATGAAATCAGACTAGGACAAGCCAGAACACTCTATTCAAAAAGGGAAATGGTTAAATGAGCAAGCCCCCAATAACTAATGGTAGATGTAGGCACTGACCAATATGCATGAAGGACTCAGCAACCTAAAATATCAAGCATGTATTTACTATAGTAAACATCTTCTCCTGTCTGCAACCTTCCTGCTCCATTTAACTGAGCCTGTGAATATGCTAGTTTGTGACAGGAGCAAATCCTATGTGCTTTTCTATTTCCATACCACCCTGAAATAAAAGAGCCAGAAGCAGAAGCATATAACCCAAATTTACTCTAAGTGGCGGTGAACAGGATAGTGCCAAGGCACAAGAGAGGTAAGTGTAGCAGTAAGGAAGGCCCTTCACTTCCTCAGGCACAATATGGAGCTGACCATTAGTCTAGACATGATCTGTTATAGGAGGAGGAGAAGTTCCTTCATGATGGCAGATTCAGAAAGAAGAATTCACGTAGACTTGATGTGGGCTGGAGCACGTGCCCCCCAGGTACAGCTGGTGCTGCTCAGGTGAGTAACATTTCAGTATAATCTAATTTCTCGTTTTATTACATGCTAAAGCGGAGTTTGGCCTTTAGCAGGGGTTGCACAAAAATAAACCAGCAAGTGCTTATCCTTGTACGACCTGTGCTGCCTGACAACCCGAATTTCATTCTCTGCAGCAGCTGCATGAAAAGTGTCTGTCTCAACCACTTGCAAAACTGAGTCCAGTGCTCTGGAAAAGGAGGACAGGACTCCTGGCGAAAGGGGCTCTGACTCAGCCAAGATGGGATCAGTTGGCAATGCAAGCCTTCCAACACGCGTGGAATGTAAAGCGGACAGAAAACAAGGAGACATGAGGAGATGTAGCATGGGTGGCACTAACTATCGCTCATGTAGTTTAAAATAAAGTAGGCTTCTATTCTAAGTGTTAGTGAAAGTCAATCTGGTGTGGCCATACTAGCACTTCGCTCAGTATCATTTTGTTCTAGGTAGCACCGTGTGATTCATTCTCCATTTCGCCTGTACACTTGTAAAATTAAGGCAGAAAAAACTAAATGTGTTGTCAGCAACATGCAGCATCAGAGTGGATTTTGGAGGGGCAAATCTACCATAGTTGTCTCTTGTGTAAGGGGTTAATCTCCACCTTTAACCAAGGCTGGGGGAGAAAATACAAAAACATTCCTTCACTCAGTACAGGAAAGTTTACCTAGTGAGTGGGGTGTTACCCTCACGTTAAACTAATATAATTTTGTACATTTCATTTTGTGCGCTCCTGATGGGAAAAGCGGAGGAAAAAAAAGAGTGAACCGTTTCAGTCTTCATCACTGCTCCTGCCAGAAACCAGCAGTCTGCATTCTCATCTGGGGCTGGTTTTTTCTCCCATCATCTCAGCAGCAATATCCATGGCCATATCTACACTACAGAATTATGTCAACTTAAGTTATGTAGGAAATCTGCCAACACAATTACATCATTTATGTATCGACACAATGCTTTTAGTGTTCGTGATATGTGTCCTCAGTAGACACGCTTATATAAATGAAGTGAATGGTGTACCGGGAATAGCAATTCCACTGTCTATAAAATCATGACTGGTGTGGAGAAAGTGAATAAGGAAAAGTTATTTACTTGTTCCTATAACGTAACAACTCAGGGACACCAGATTAAATTAATAGGCAGCAGATTTAAAACAAACAAAAGGAAGTTTTTCTTTACACAATGCACAGTGGAACTCCTTGCCAGAGGATGTTGTGAAGGCCAGGACTTTAACAGGATTCAAAAAGGAGCTAGATGGATTCATGTAGGACAGGTCCATCAATGGCTATTAGCCAGGATGGACAGGAATGGTGTCCCAAGCCTGTTTGTCAGAAGCTGTGACTGGGTGATAGGGGAGGGATCACTTAACGATTCCCTGCTCTGTTCATTGCCTGTGGGGCACCTGGCATTGGCCACTGTCGGAAGACAGGTTACTGAGCTAGATGGACCTTTGGTCTGACGCAGTATTCCTGTCCTTCTGACTTTACTTTGCAGTTAAAAACAACAATGTGCCCTGTCTCCACTAGGATTTTACAGAAATGCGAATGGGTTACCCCTGTGGAAGAAAACACCCCACAGTAACAATGCATCTTTTCCAGAGCAATGAAACCAAAGCCTCGAACTAAACAAACAAAGGCCTCTCACTTACCTCAACTCCTTCAGCAACCACATATGCTGCCCTTGTGTTTCTAGTCCCACTGTATTGAAATATCTTACAATAAACAGACACAGCTGAGAGCTCCCAGGACAGCTAGTGGGGATTCAGTTCTTCTGGGCCACAAGATCTTTTCCACTCTAACTTACTTTATGCTCTGAATCTGAAAAGTACCACACCCAGAGCCACAGCACTAAACTCAGTAACCAGAAATCACAAGTGCCAAAATGTGCACGCACACACAGTTTGCACCATCACGCTGCAGATGTTCAGAGGCAGGCAATAGTTTATTTCCCTATCTTCGTGCTGGGATTATTAGAAGGTTGTCTCCAGCAAGATCCATTGAGTTCTTGCTTTGTATCAGTAGCTCATGGGTGCCTGATAACTTTGAAAATCTTCCTGCTGCCATCTCAATGCTGGAAGTTCTTTATCTGTCTTCAACACAAAAGCTCCCTCTTTGCTGTGAGGGGGGGCTTCTCAGCCACTCTATCAACCCCATCATCATTTGGAACACTCCAGTTCCTGCCTCTAGTGTTGTTCTTAGCTTTCAAAACAGTAGCTCTGGGAAATTTCCTCACCTGTGCCATGCATATTTGTGTCTAGAGAATCATTTCATCGACAGCATCTCCCACCTATATACTATTGAAGCTTAGCTAAAGTAATGTAAAAAATACACTATTTCTAAAAAAGCCGCTTTAATCGATCTTCTTTTAGAAGTAACATTAAGACGGTTTGGTATCTTACCTCCCACTAATTTCAAGTCTTCTAGGAAATCAAATGGAGATCTTGGACAAAAAATATTTCAACTAGACAGATCATTCTGAAATTCTTTTTTTTTTTTTTTTAACTTGGGAATGAAAAGGATTGGTGCTATGAAGAAATCCTGGAGTAATCTGTTTGATGGATCATTTTTTAAAGTGGAATGCGTCTATTTCAAATACTGTACTAAAAGTTGTTCAGGTACTAGGTACCTTCTACTACACCACCTAACTGTTTTCACATTTTAGAAAATTTTTATTGTAAATTTCAAATATTCCTCCTTCCCCCTTCCCCCTTTGCTGCAAGAACCCTCTACTCCCTGTGCTAGAGCAAGTTACAGTGGGAACCAAGTTGGGGAGGGGGATAGAGAGGAAAAAGCATTGACTCCAATCTCAATAATAATCTTAGATGTTAAAAGTAACAGAAATAGGTAAAAGGTTTAGGCAGATGAGTCTTAAAGTTACGTCCCATTAATATTTATGTTCAAGGTTTGAAATTCTCTAACTGTTTTTACAAAGGAAAAAAATCTGGAAGACAAAATAAAGCATTTCAAATGTTCCCCTTTTGGTATAATGCAGTAAGAATGTAATGAAGTAGTAAAGAAAATGTGTAAATATAAAACATTACTTACCACTTTGAGCTCTGGTACAGAACGACTTAGTGTCCACTCCTGGCTATTTACAAATGCATCTGTAAAAAAAATACATATACGTAATTTAGAAAGATACTTTCACTTCTAGAAAGCTTTATTTTTTATTCCTATTGCAGCATCTAAAAAAGGTGCATAGCTCTTCAAATAAAGGGGAAAAAAATAAGCCACATTCAAACCTCAGTAAAAGATTAACATAATAAAGTCTAAAAAAAATAGTATGGATTGACAGCCATAGCTAATTTTCTCATGTGATCATCCCAACTAGCATTTATAGTGAGGTTAGAATTTTAATTAAATCCTTTCAGATTATGAAAAAAACTCTTCTTCTCTAACCCTAATCTAAACACAAGTTAACTGGCTACATCGGATGCATACTCCAATTTCTCCCCGGGGCCAAAACACTCATGAACCCAAACCGAACATCTACTGCAGTTCTCAGCATCAATGGTAATTTCCCCCTATACCCAGATAAGTCAGAATGCTGAAAATTATAACACGTCTCTTTTCTAGAGACTTCCAAGACCCACCTGATTTTTCAGTATTTAAATAATTGGTCAGCCTATTATGTAACAAAGGACAAACATTAATACTGGATGCACCCCTCTACTCCAGCACGCTTTGGTCCAGCATAATGTTAGTTAACTGGATGTCCACTTATCCCAGGTGTAGCCGAGTTTCCCGCGGTCCCACAAAGGTTGTTTGCAGCCACCAGTGCTAGCTCTCAGTGTTCTGTGCTGTTATTTAGCTCTAATTTACCCCTAAATGTCTTTTAACAGCCCAGTAAGCGCAGAAAATGTTTATAATGCTGTTAGACAATATTGACCTTCTGTGATTTGGCAAATTCTCTGGTTCAGCACCAGCCAGGACCCTGTATACAATGCGGATAAAAATCAATTACTTTTACAAAAAAAAAATCAAAAAATTGGATTTTTTTAATTGAAATCTGATTTATTTAAATCAGATTTTTTAATTTTTTAGAAAATAATCAATAAGATACTGAATTTCTTATTTAAAAATAAGTTACAATTAAATCACAAGCATGCTACACGTAAACTTACAGTTTCATAATGTGATGCCATAAGTCCATTCCCTATTTTACTTCAACATAAAACAGCTTTCCTAAAGGAAACCATTCTATACGTGTTTCCAATGGTGCTTACTCCAAAATTAAGTGCACTCTAAGCACAGTCAGTCTTTGCTTTTTTGGGAATTTGGAATCAGCTGTTCATCAAAATGATAGTGAGAATGAGGAAAATAAGAGCTAATATTAGAAGCTGTAAGGACACGGTACATTTAATGTTCTGAGGACTTGTCACAGTTAATAACATTTGAAATTTTTTTTTTAAAGAATGTAAAAGCAGCCATCAACCAGCAACTCAAGAGACTGCTTCAAATGCAAATTTATGTAACATTTAAGATTTAGTTTAACAAAATATAAGCGTTATTGTGTTTGCGTGTATGATTTAATTCTTACCATTCCTAATGTACTGCTGCTGCATTTGCAGCTTGAGTATCATATACTATTTTCTAACATTAATAAAAATCAAGTTAGCTAAAGAAAATACACAAAGTATGCCCTCTTAGATGCTGTAAAAGGCTGTACTGAGCTGCAAATTAATATGGTTTAGTGATCAGATTTGCACTATTGTTTCAAGAAATATGTGAAGAACTATTAGTGGGAAACTTTGATTTAGAACAGTTTTATTTTGACCCACTCGGGTAATATGAGAGCCAGACTAGATATCTGCTGTGAGAGTCCATGCAATGTTTATTGTGTGTGTAAAATGCCTGAATTAAAGGGAGACTGTGCGAGAAAATAACATGGTGTGCAGGCATGCAACTGAAAGATAATGGGGACGGGACGACAGCAACAGCATCAAGGATACGACCTCCTGTCTTTAACAAATGGAAACCTTGTTTCACAAGAGCTGAAACTTACAAGGTCAAAGGGATATAAACAGTTAAAAGGTGACACGATTCGCATGAAGGGTAGTGATAAAACAACTGGGCAAGACTTAAAGATACTCCCCCAAAGAAGGAAGATGGTGCATCAAGGGAAGAGAAAGAGACTTTGAGGAGGAGTCTGTAGGAAATTAAACTTACCAGGGATCCCATGAGGAAGATGAAGACACCTAGACAGCTTTAGTCAGGCAATATAAACACTGTCAGTACTTTGGCAAACAAAAAATTTACACCCCTTATGTGCGGGGTTTGCTTTGTCGCAGGAGTGCTGTTCACACTACAGGTGAACCTTTCCAGTGCAGCACCCTCGGGAACAGACCAGTGCTAAACCAGAGAATTTCCTGGACCACAGGAGGTCAATATTGTCTAGCAGCATTACCCACACTTCCACTGTTCACTGGGCTCTTAGAAGACTGTTAGGGATAAATTAGAGCTAGATGACAGCACAGAACACTGAGAGCCAGGACTGGTGGCTGCAAACAAACTTTATGATACGTAGCCGCAAACATGATAAATGGACAGGCCAGTCCATAGATGTTGCCAGAAGAAAGAGATTCAACCTGCAGTATCTGCCACAGCAAAGCTTTTGTCCACGTGGGTTAGCAAGGAGATCTAAGCATCTATGAATGACAAAAACTTTGTCACTCAATTAGCAGTGTAGACAACATCCTAATCAACTACACATATCTCCTCAGTACATTAGAACAGGGGTCTCCAAACTACGGCCCGCGGGCCGGATGCGGCCCGCGAGGCCCTCTCATCCGGCCCGTGGAGACTGTGACGGGGAAGAAACTCCCCGCACTAACAGCCCCTCCCCTGGAGAAGCGCCGAGCGGCGCAGCGCCGTGGAGCTGGGGCGGGGAAGAAACTCCCCCCACTGACAGCCCCTCCCCCGGAGAAGCGCTGAGCGGCGCAGCGCAGCGGAGCCCAGGGAAAAGCCCACGGGGAGGGGAGCGAGGGCGCACAGCCGCAGGCGCGGCAGGCGAGGAAGGCGGCAGGACCCAGGAGGAGAAGGGGCAGGGACGCCAGGGTGAGTGGCACGCTCCGTGCGTGCCGGCTCAAAAGGGGGAGGGGCCGGAAGGACAGGGGGCGGCCGGCACTCACTTTCTTTTGGGCAGGCAGCCAGGAGAGGGAAGCCGGAGGAGCCAGCGGGACGGAGGAGGGACTCTGGACCCGCGCAGCCCTTGCCCTGGGCAGCGAGACTCCCCGGCCCCCAAGGAAGACTTTCCTAATGTCAAAACTTTTGCATCAAGGTACCTTTCAATCTTTGGAACAACATACCTGTGTGAACAAACATTTTCAAGAATGAAATACGTGAAGAACAATTTGAGAACAAACTTGTCCGATGATAATCTCAGGTCACTGTTGATGTTAGGGACAACAAATCTAAAGCCAGAAATGTCTGCTATTTTGGCATCCAGGAAACAATTTCACCATTCACACTAATACAGGTGTTCATGTGTAGTGTATGAATGTGTTATTAAATAATAACTGAATAAAATAATATTAAATAAATAATTAAAAACAACATCCATGTTTTGATTGTTTTTTATTTGGACCTCAAGTGTGTAGTCGGCCCCCGAACTGCTGTTTGATAGTTAATGCGGCCCTCGGGCTGAAAAGTTTGGAGACCCCTGCATTAGAACAACAGTCTAAGAGAAAAACAGATCTTAAAAATACTGCTTTCAGAAGGCTGACTAGACATTGGTTACCATTTGCATTTCTAGAGGGAACAGTATTACGGGTTTCGGACATAAGTCAGAACTCCTGAAGTACTAATGCTATTACACAGGGCATGATTGGAGAGCACGGAATCAAGTGATTCCCCCTTGAGAGCTGATATTAGAGGCCCCAGGCTTGGAGGTTGATGGAATGTTGTGCTCTGACTGTAAGAAGAACTCCATAGAAAAGGCTTGTGCCCCTACAGAGTTTGCTGTCAATTTGGAGGCAGGTACTTTAGCCAGATTGTAGTACATCCAGATACAGGATGTGATCCATGGTGAAATTCTTTAGGAAGTATCTACAAGTCCTTTCATTCTATCTGCCTTTGCAATGGATAGCTTTTCAAAATGGCTTCATCAGTTTGATACAGACAGCTAATGCCTGGTGAACATCCAAACAGAGGAGTTTGTGCTTCTAACTGTTTGCCTGTGGCTTAGAGTAAAAAACTAGAAAAAAAATGTCCTGCTACTAAAAAGGAACTGGAAAAGCAATCGATTGACAGGAACCTATATATGAACTGACCCAAAGGTACCACTAAGGAAAAAGCCTTCCGGCTACTGTACCCAGAGCGCGCACACAACTAGTTGAAGCACTTGAAAAAGAATTTTACATTTCAACTTTGCCTCTGAATTCAGATAGCTGTGTAGCCCGTGGGGCTGGCCACATCATTTGAGAAATGGCTCTCAAACATTTAAGTACCCAATATTCATACCCAAGCACTGTGACCTTCACAGAGCTGGAACTGTACAATGACAACCAAATTCTTCAGATAGGCAGGTGGTTCTTCACATGGAAGCTTTGAAATCTTCTGGATAAATTGCATTAATTAAGGCTCTAAGGCCTACTAAACCAGCAGCACTTAGGAGTTCTCTAGAATCAGAACACTCGCATACGAAACAGGATCCCTGTTCAAAGGTCAGAAAGTCTAACAGCAGAATAAACCTCAAACGCTTTAGTAATACCTGTAACAGAATATTCTGTAATCCTTAGCAGTATTTGAGCCCAGCCAACCACCCCAACCCTGCGCAGTACATAGAAGGGACTGTCTTTGCCCACGGAAGCTTGAGATCGAGATGGAACACACTGCCATTCAGTCACAATGCAAGCCGGGAAACAGATGAAGGCCTGACCTTACAGCACTGAGTAAGGATTTGGAGCTCGTGTGTGTTTTGGGGGCAGTGGGTGGGTAAACCACTGTAGGTTACATAATTTAAGTACAGTACTACAAGTTTTGACAATATTGCTACAAATGTTATTTTCTCATCTAATTCATGTCTGAGCGTAAATGACATTTTTTCTAGAACATTCATGTGTGTTATACCACAGGGAAAACCAACTAAACCACGATGAAAAGTAACAATATTTTCAGAAGCTTAAGAATTACACAAAAATAGTTCACCATTACCAACATTGACTTAACTGCTTCTGTCAATGATACAAAGCTATGACTCTGAATAATGAATAATCATCTATAGTTGGATCAAATCCAGACTACAAATTAGCTCTGTAACTTACAATAGCGCTTGGATGAGATTTTGCAAATTATTAGGAGGCAATGCTGCCTAGTGGATAGTACACTGGGCTGGGATTTATTCCCAGTTTTGCTATTGGCCTGCTGGTGACCTTGCCTCTATATAAATCCATGGTACATCCACATCTTGAATACTGAGTGAGTTGTGGTCCCTTCACCTTACACAAAAAAAAAAAGGTATCTTGGCATTGGAAAAAATTCAGAAAAGGGCAACAAAAATGTTTAAGGGTATGGAACTGCTGCCATAGGAGGACAGATTAATTAGACTGGGACTTTTCATCTTAGAAAATAAAGAGACTGAAAGGGGTTAGGATAGAGGCCTATAAAATCATGGCTGGTGTGAAGAAAATAAATAAGGAAAAGTTATTTACTTGTTCCCATAACACAACTACTACAGGTCACCAAATGAAATTAATAGGTAGCAGGTTTAAAAAACAAACAAAAAGGAAGTATTTCTTTACATAATCCACAGTCAACCTGTGGAACTTCTTGCCAGAGGATGTTGTGAAGGCCAGGACTTTAAGAGGGTTCAAAAAAAATTGGATCAATTCATGGAGGATATGCCTATCAATAGCTATTAATCAGGATGGGTAGGAATGGTCTCCCTAGCTTCTTCTCAGAAGCTAGGAGTGGGCAACAGGGGATAGATCACTTGATGATTACCAGTTCTGTTCATTCCCGAGAGGCCCCTGGCATTGGCCACTTTTGGAAGACAGCACACTATCCTAGTTGGAGCTTTGGTCTAACCCAGTATGATCATTCTTAAGTTATTTTTTGTAATAACAATTTCAATAAAAAATCACTTTTAGTATTAAACAACTTTTTTGTGTTCCTCAATGAAAACTTAACAGATGCATGTTAACAGTTTTAATATTCACAGTAGTTGCAGCTACTGAAGTGCATAGCTTACAAGCCATTACACAGTAAGCATATGTTTTTTCTCAAAGAAAAATACAAGCACAGGAAGATGGGAATCTGCATGAACAGCCATTGGAATCATGATAGAATGGGCTCTATGTACAAGGAACAGCATTTACTCTGCTGTAAATCCATTACTGCATGTTGATTCCCGTCTCCCCAAACACCACAACATTCAAAAAGGAACTGCCATGAGATGACCAAGGGCTTGTACACACTATCACTTACGTTGTGTAACTTATGTTCCTTCAGAGTGTGAATAAGTCACCTCCCTCCCTCCTCCAGCAACGTCAGTTACACAGACCTAAGCACCAGCATGAACAGGGTATATTGGTGAGAGACCGTCTCCTACCAACACAGCTACTGCCTCTTGTAGAAGTAGATTTATTATGCTAACAGGAGAGCTCTCTCCTGTTGGCAAAAAGCAGAGGTCACCCGCCAGTAGATCGGAATCTACCAGTAGATCTTGGAGCCTCTGACAGGGGATCCTGACTGGTTTGACCAGGAAGCGATCAAGAGCTGGCACTTCAGTTGTCCCTCCACCCACTGTTCTGCTGTTCCTGCCCTCTGCCTTGGAGCTGCCCCCTGGGAGCCTCCTGCTTGTTGTGCAGGGTATGGGAAGGAAAAGAGGGGTCCCTCCTCCCCTCATTCCACCCAGAGAGAAGGGGATGGAGGGAGTCTGGTAATGCAAATCTGTCACTCTCACGCGCGCTGTGTACGTCTCTGCCACTCTCACAAACACACACTGTCCTGCACTCCTCTCCTGACCCAACTCACATATGTGGGGGGTTGTTTTTGCTTCTTTTACTGTTTTTGCTTCTTTTACTGCTTTGACTGGTCTGTGCATTGCATAATTTTAATTTCTTTCTTACGCTTCAATTTAATTCCTTGAGCAGGGAGTCTAAAATGCTGAACCTGTTGTGGCTGGAGTCATTATCCCTGTGTGGTAATTGCCGCTCCTGAACGTGGCTGGCATGTCCCTGCAGAGCAGGGGGTCTCCACATGCTGTCCTTGCCTGCAGACACTGCTCCTGCAGTTCGCACTGATCAGTAAAGGGGAAACTGTGGCCAGTAGAAGCTGTAGGTTCAGTGCTTGTAGCGGAGGGGCAGCTCATGGCACCATGGAGTCATTGCTGCACATGCCAGCTGCTTTCAGGAGCAGTGAAGGGCCAGGGCAGGAATAAGACGCCTTAACCGCACTGCTCCACCACCCAGAAGCCATCTCAGTTAAATGGTGCCCAGCCAGAGCCTGCTTCCTGAACCCGTTCCAGGTTCAGTGCTTGTAGCGGAGGGGCAGCTCATGGCACCATGGAGTCATTGCTGCACATGCCAGCTGCTTTCAGGAGCAGTGAAGGGCCAGGGCAGGAATAAGACGCCTTAACCGCACTGCTCCACCACCCAGAAGCCATCTCAGTTAAATGGTGCCCAGCCAGAGCCTGCTTCCTGAACCCGTTCCAGCCCTGAACCTCCTCCTGCCCCAGACAGACCCAAACTCCTTCCCAGAGTTTGCACCCTGAATCCCCTCCTGGACCCCAATCCTCCACCCTGGGCTAAGCCCGGAGCCCCTCTCACACTCCAAACCTCTTGGCCCAAGACCAGAGCCTGCACCCCAGCTCCCTACCCCAGCCTGGTAAAAGTGAGCGAGGAGGAGGAGGAAGGGGGATGGAGTGAGCAGGGTGAGCCTTTGGAGAAGGGGTGGAGCAGGGGTGGGGCCTCAAAGAAGGGGCGGGAAGGAAACAGGGCCACGGGATTTGGGTTTGAAGTAGATCTCACATTACACTTAAATAGAAAAAGTGATCTTGTGGTTAAAACGCTTGGAGACCGATGGCATAAAGCATCTTTACCCCCATGTGCTGCAGCTGTGCCACTGTAGTGCTTCTAGTGTAGACTAGCCATGGGTCAGCCATTGTGGTAACGGTATTGCACAGTAGATTTTCTACCCAAACTGGGTGGATTTCAAAAACATCCAGGATTTTACACACACTGCAGGGACTTCACTAATCCCAACAGGCCAATAGCTACAAAGTCTCTTGTGAATCTTGCACAGGAGGATTGCAGGCCTGTGCTGCTCCCTCCCTTAGGTTATAAAAAACCTCAAACACAATATTCCCCTCCCTCAGAAGAAGCCTCTGGTGTTTAAGCTGAAATATGCAACATTACTGGGCACCAGAGTGAGCCCGGGGGGAGGGAGGAAGGGCAGCATCAAGGCAGCAATCCAGGGTGTTCTCTCTCAAATTTGCCACCAATTATTTATGACCCCTTTGAGAAAGTCATTTCATCCATTTGATTACAATATGTCACAGAGGCATGTCTGACAAGTTTCCCCTTCAGCTGGAAAACAGATAATATTTATGTACCTTTTTCAGAAATTGGCAACCAATAATAGGAAAAAGATGCACAAGTGCAATGAGCCGCTAAACAGACTCGATTTCAACAGCTACTCTCACAAATATTTTTATATATTTGCTTAGGCATACACATTAATTTAGATTTTGAATGCTGACCCAAGTCAAATAATTGTTGTGGGAAAATGCCACACTTGAAACTTCTGTCCCTTGTAAACAATTAAATAGCTAATCAGATGAGGAAATCAAGTCCTTTCCACAACTGGGAGTATCAGTGAAACAACAGCCTATTAAAAGTACAATCAGACCATTCTATCAACGGGTGTGAAGAATGGCTATTTCAGACTACAATGGAGCATTTTAGATCATATAGGAAAAAGCCTTCCAAATGTTAATTTACAAATCATAAAAACCCAACTAAATAATTTGGCAATGAGTTAAGCTTTCAGACACAGGCAGCTACAATCTAAAGGATTTTTTCAAATCAGACCAAGAGATTCATAGACTCATAGACTTTAAGGTCAGAAGGGACCATTATGATCATCTAGTCCGACCCCCTGCACAGTGCAGGCCACAAAATCTCACCCACCCCTCCTAGAATAATCCTCTCACCTATATCTAAGATATTGAAGCCTTCAAATACTTTGAAGACCCCAAGATGCAGAGAATCCTCCAGCTGTGATCTGTGCCCCATGCTACAGAGGAAGGCGAAAAACCTCCAGGGCCTCTGCCAATCTACCCTGGAGGAAAATTCCTTCCTGACCCCAAATATGGCGATCAGCTAAACCCTGAGCATGTGGGCAAGACTCATCTGCCAGACACCCAGAAAGTTCAGGAAAGGGATGTAAGCTCTATGACAATGGTATAGGATAGTTTCTCGCCACCTTTTTTTTTTTTTTTAAATAAAGTATCCCTTTAAAAAAAAATTCTAAGTACCCCCAGTACCTGCAGTTTTCAGACACTCAAATTTTTTTCCTATCATTACAACACATTTGTTTAAACAACTTAATCGTAGCCGGGTGGGCGATGACATTTTTGGGTATAAAAAGTACAGAAATAGTCAAGTGCTGTAAAACTTAACACAAAAATTCAGTTTTCTCCAAATTTCAGTTGTGCTGATGTACCCCCCTCCCCACCCCAACTTCTCTTGAGTACCCTTAAGGATACTTGTACTGCTTGTTGAGAAACACTGGTATATGAGACAAAATTCCAGGGCCATGGGATACACCTACGTTAAAGAGAACCACCAGGCCCCAGTAGTATACTCTCCATGCATGCTCCCCTTAAGCAGTGAGTGGCAATGCCCTTTTTG